TGTAGGTACCGCCCAGCCCAGCTCCCCGGGCTGTTTTCATGCTGCATCTACAAGTTGCCGGGAGGTTCTGCTCTATGTGGAGCTCCCCACCTTGCGTGCTGAGCTCTCTGAGTTTTGGGGAGAATTTTAGAAACTTGGAACTCTGTCTTTCTGTGCTGGGATGAGTCTCCCCTGGTGTCTGCATGACCAGCTGCTGGTCACCTTATTGAGACTTTAGTTCCCGAGCTGGGACTTCCCTGGTTACATGCTGCCATGTCGTTCTCATGACACACCTCACTCAGCACCTCCAAATTGTACTGCTCTGTGTAATTTTCTGTGTGCTGGGCTGTGTCATTGTCCTGCTGACATCAACACAATTTTGTATGCTTACAACAATTTTGTACATTTACTCTTATCCCAGCAGATGTGGAGATTCTTAGTTCCGTAGCCCCATCACCCTCTTAAAACTGTGCTGGGAACACAGTGTCTGCTCAGTGGCTGTCTGCTGGAGGAATGAATGAGTGAAATGAATGAATGATAGCAGGGGGAATTAGGACACTATCCTCATTGTGAGAGGACACGGGGAAGATGGGTGACCCCTCTATCCTAAGGTGTTAGGAATGTGGGATCCCTGACTGGGAGGAGACTCATGGTCTGGTAACTCAGGTGATGGGGGTTTACTCCATCTTTCTTCACAGGACAGAAATAAAAGTGAAGGTTCCCCCATCTCTCTTCAGCTTTGCATAGTCTCATCTCTTCCTTCTGTTCCTCCAAGTTCGTTGGAAGAGTGAGCTCACTTCATGCTGCTTCCTATCTTACCTAAAGTTAGTTAATACAGTTGAACCCTGGAATTCCCTAAATCTGATGTTCCTGTGAAAGCTCCTTTCTTTTCTTTCTTTTTTTTTTTTTTGAGTCAGAGTCTCATTACATCACCCTAGTAGAGTTCTGTGGCATCAAAGCTCACAGCAATATTAAACTCCCGGGCTTAAGCAATTCTCTTGCCTCAGCTTCCCAAGTAGCTGAGACTACAGGCACCCGCCACAACACCTGGCTATTTTTAGTGATGAGATCTCACGCTGGCTCATGCTGGTCTCTAACCTGTGAGCTCAGACAATCCACCCGCCTCGGCCTTCTAAGTGCTGGGACTATAGGCATAAGCCACTATGCCTGGGCATGAAAGCTGGTGAATCTTCAATCTACAACCACCTTGTGCCCAGGAGACACAAAATCTCCAATGGCTCCTCTGAAGGAGAGACTGAAATATAACTGCAGTCTGTGGTATTAACCAGAGCTAGATGTATCAATTGACATTATGGAGTGGTGGGAAGAATGGAAATTGCTGTTTCTGAGGACCTGGAAGAGGAACAGAAACATGGAAATCAGGAATCTCAGACTGAAGAGCAAAGGTGCAGATGCGATGAACTGGCACCTACCTTTGTTATATTATGAGTGAGGCCCTCCAAAAAGACCCACTCTGTCACCAGAACATTCATTTGAATGCTGCACCTGTCTGCAGCTGGCCAGGGGCTTTCTCTTCCTGTTTCTCATGCGTTCCTAAGTTTAGCCCTGTAATGGAGGCAGAGCAGGGGCTCTCATCATCCATCGTTTGTCTACAAATCCCTTATGCTGGAACCTATGACCTTCCTGACAGGCGATGGATGAATGGATGGCTCACCACTGGGCACAGTTATGAAGGCAGAGTGGGCAGAAGCCAACTGGCCTTGGTGAGAGCTCCCATTTCTAGTCCTCTTCCTTCCTGTTCCCACCAGGTGGCCACTTACCCCCACCCCAGGACATGGAAGACATGGGGAAAGATGGCCACTTCTTCCCCAGCAGTGCTAAAATCTGCCCATATTGCAGCCTGAACTATTTACCTCATTTCACATTTGACTCAAATTCTGGATCCATCCCTAGTAAAAATTGGTAATAAATGGAAATTTGATGTACTCATTTAAAATAAGTATCTCTGAAGTTAAACTTTTCTTTTTGGCTTCACTTTATGTATAGCATTCCTATTTTTTTTTCTTTTTAAAAACATATAACTTAAAGTTCAATTCTATAACAATACTTATGATTCATAAATCGGACAGAATCAAATATGCTCATTTTCTTTTTTTCTTTTTACTCTTCAAAAATTAATTTTTTTATTGTTGGGGACTCATTGAGGGTACAAAGAACCAGGTCATATTCATTGCATTTGTTAGATAAAGACCCTCTTATAATTGTGTCCTGCCATCAAAAGGTGTACCACACACCATGGCCCCTCACCCTCTCCCTCCTCCCCTTTCTCTGCTCTCCCCTTCCCCCACGCCCCACTGCATACCCCCCACTGACAATTAGGTCAGTAATTGTCCTCATATCAGAATTGAATACATAAGATTCATGCTTCTCCATTCTTGTGATGCTTTACTAAAAATGATATGTTCCACCATCCAGGTTAATACAAAAGTTGTAAAGTCTCCATCACTTTTAGTGGCTGAATGGTATTCCATGGTATATATATACCACAGCTCATTAATCCATTCCTGGGTTGGTGGGCATTTAGGCTGTTTTCACATTTTGACAATTATAAATTAAGCTTCAATAAACAGTCTAGTGCAAGAGTCCTTATGGTAAAAGGATTTTTTTCCTTCTGGGTAGATGCCCAGTAATGGGATTGCAGGGTCAAATGGAGGTCTAGCTTGAGTTCTTTGAGGGTTCTCCATACTTCCTTACAAAAAGGTTGTATTAGTTTGCAGTTATACCAGTGGTGTAAAAGTGTTCCCTTCTCTCCACATTCACACCAGGATCTGCAGTTTTGAGATTCTGTGATGTGGGCCATTCTTGCTGGGGTTAGATGATACCTCAGGGTGATTTTGATTTGCATTTTTCTAATAATTAGTAACAATGAACATTTTGTCATATGCTTGTTAGCCATTCATCTGTCTTTTTTAGAGAAGGTTCTATTCATCTCTCTTGCCCATTGATATAAGGCAGAGCTCCTCAAACTTTTTAAACAGGGGGCCAGTTCACTGTCCCTCAGGTCATTGGAGGGCTGGACTATAGTTTAAAAAGAAAACTATGAACAAATTCCTATGCACACTGCATATATCTTATTTTGAAGTAAAAAAACAAAATGGGAACAATTACAATATTTAAAATGAAGAAAAAGTAAAGTTAAATCAACAAACTTTCCAGTATTTCAATGGGAATGGTCAGTGCTCAGTGTTATTGCATGGGGGCCCCCAAACTGGTAATCTGCCTAGGGCCCCATGGGAAATTAAAAGGTCTGTTCACAGACATAAGTGCGGGCAAAGATGGTTGCCATTTTGAATGCATGGTTCCTGAGATTAGGATATGTCTGGGGCAGGGGAGATGCATAGAAATTAGGAAGGCTGCTTAACTTGAATGCGTCTTTCAGAGAATCACAATTCTGCAGTTCAGCCAGTTCCATTTGGTAAATTGTATCCACATTTTCAGTGTGAACAGAAAATGGGTTACAGAAAAGCTGTATGTCCTGTTCATGGAGATGAAGCTCCTTAAATCTAAATTTGAACTCTTTTTGCAACTTTTCCAGTGAATCCACACATGTTTTGTCTGGGAATGCAACCAATGGTTTTTCCGCTAACAGATTTTGAGTTATGGGGAGATGGCAGAAATTTTCCTCCTTCACTTGTTTGATGAGGAGGCCTAATTTTACTTCAAATGCTTTCACATGAGATTGGATATCACAAATGAGCTTCCCCTTTCCTTGAAGTTGCACATTGAAACTGTTGAGTCGCTCTGTTACATCTGTCATTGAAAGGCAAGGTTCCATTTCCATTCTGCATCATAGAGCTCTGGTACTTCTTTGTTTTTTGAGAAGCAGAGAAGCTATAATTTGTGGATGTAAGTCATAGAAATATTTCAAAACTCTCCCTCAACTCAGCCAACAGACTTCTGTGTGGTACAGAACATCGTCATAGGCAACATTTAGCTCAGACAGAAATTCCTGAAATTGTCTGTGGTTTAGTGCATTAGCTCTAATGAAGTTAACACAAGATACCATAATTTTCATGACAGAGTCCCACTTCAGTGATTTACTACACAGCACTTGGTGGTTGAGGTGGTGTATGGCTATTGGATGAGAATGATTATGTTTGTCCATCTCTTGGTTAATGTGAGCAATTACTCCTTTCTTAGACCCCACCATGCTAGGAGCACCATCAGTTGTCACATTGGCTAGTTTAGCTCAGTCTAGCTCCAAACCATTCACAGTTTGGCAAACTTTTTCATAGATAGCCTCTCCTGTAGTTTTTCCTTTGATGTTTTGCAGTGCAGCAAGCTCTTCTGTAACTTCAAAATTGTCATTTGTCCCACGAATAAAAATTAGAAGTTGTGCAGAATCATGAACATCACTACTTTTGTCGAGTGCCAAGGAAAAATAGGAAAGTTTTTTTGTGGAGTTTTGCAAATTGTCTCCCATCTCTTCAATCCTTTATGTAATTGTAGGTCCTGAAAGACTCACTGTACTAAATAAATTGGCCTTCTCTGGACACATCTCTTTGGCAACAGAAAGAAGGCATTCTTTAACAAATTCTCCCTCCACAAATGGTCTGCCAGTGCATGCTATTAGCTTGGTAACTTGAAAACTTGCTCACAGTGATGAAATATTTAGCTGCTTCTGCTTCACAAAAGTATTTTGCTGAGTTGTCAATGTATTTTTCAGTTTTAATATTTTATCTTTTCGCACTTCTCCGACCAAACAATCATATTTATCTTTATGTTGAGTTTGATAGTGTCAGCGCAAATTGTATTCTTTGAACACAGACACTATATTCTGGCATATCAAACACACAGCTCTTTCCTTGCACTGCATGAAACAGTAATCATAAGTCCACTGTTCTTTGAATATCCTATACTTGGAGTCAATTTTTCTCTTTCTTGATATCATTGTTTCCTAGGAATTCCAAATTGTTATTAGTAAAATATATACAGCACTACAAAAACAATATACCAGCAAAAACTTTGCCCCACACAGAGACATGTACACTGCATTGCCCATCGATGCAGTCTGATCAGTGTCCATCAGTGCAGCCTTGCCAGTCCACATCATTTCAGCCTCACCAGTGCCCATATTGGTGGAACTCCACTTTTACCTCAGGCTCACACTGGTGTGGTGTGGGAACTGGCAGGATTACAGAGCCGGTTCCTCCACTACCATTCCAGTTCACACTACTCTGTGTGAACTGCCCTGTGATCTGTGAACTCACATAGGAATCTGATCATATGGGTGAGAAGACTCATGCGATCAGATTCCACTGCAGGAAAAAAGAAGGCACATATGCCTTTCTTCTTCCGAATCTATTGCGAGTTCAGCCACACAAGCATATGGCTGAACTCACAATGCTCAGAGATCACAACAGTGTGAACTGGGGCTTACACAGCATACAACACACAACATCATACACAACTGAATAGCAATCAGAATATAAATGCACTTACTGTCAATTAAATTGGGTTTCCTACTCCTTGGCTGTCTGCAGAGCCAGATTAATTTCCCATGGGGCCCTAGGCAGATTACCAGTTTGGGGCCCCCATGCATTAACACTGACCGCTGACCATTTGCATTAACACTGACTGCGGACCATTTGCATTAATACTGAGCGCTGACCATTTGCATTAACACTGAGCACTTACAATTATCATTACCATTGAGCACTATTTGCATTACCTCTGAGCACTGACAATTTGCATTAGCACCAAACGTTGACTATTTGCTTTGCACTGTCACTGTGATGCAGCCCCCCTAGAAACCACCCCCAACCAATAACCAACTTTTAAAAAGACTCTCTCAACTTCAAAAAAAGGGCTCTCCTAACTTCAAAAACAAGGCACCCCCTATCTGCAAAAAAATCCCTCCTAACTTCAGAAAAAAAAGGCCCCCCCTTAACTGCAAAAAAAAAAGGTCCTAAAACTGCAAAAAAAAAAAAAAAAAAAAAAACCCCCCAACTTCAAAAAAAAAAAAAATCCTAACTTGTTCTTACCTCGGTCCTCAGGCAGCAGCAGGCTCTGCACAGGCAAGCTCTTGACTCCTCTGATCACACCCGAGACTGGGAGGAGGACTTGAGAGAGAGAGAGAAGGACGGAAGTGGGAGAGTGCAGCGCACATTCCACACATGCGCACTGCAGGCCTGGGACAAGTTGGCTGATAAGCAGGAAAGGCCTGGGGGCAAGAACACCTGGTGGGCCAGACAAATGTCTTCCAGGCCGCTTGTGCCCCACAGGGCCATAGTTTGAGAACCCTTGATATAAGGGATTGTTGGCTCTTTTTGTGTTAATTAATTTGAGTTCTCTGATTATCAAGATTTTGTCTGATTCAAAATATGGAAATATCCTTTCCCATTGTGTAGGTTGTCTGTTTGCTTTGGTTGTTGTCTCCTTAGCTGTACAGAAGCTTTTCAGTTTAATTAAGTCCCATTTGTTTATTTCTGTTGTTGTTGCAATTGCCATGGCAGTCTTCTTCATAAAGTCTTTCCCCAGGCCAGTAGCTTCAAGTGTTTTTTCCACACTTTCTTTGAGGATTTTTATTGTTTCATGCCTTAGATTTAGGTCTTTTATCCATCTTGAATCAATTTTTGTGAGTGGAGAAATGTGTGGGTCCAGTTTCAGTCTTTTACATGTGGATATCCAGTTCTCCCAGCACCAAAAAAGTTCATTTTTTGCTTTTTCTCTGGGGTCCTTATATTTCCTGGGATGGAAATAACATCACAGAAAACCATAGCTTGGTAGCAGTTAAAGCATCAGGACCAGATTTACTCAGGAACTAAGTAATAGTTACTGCAATACAGTAAATGAGACTTTGGTGTCAAACTGGGCTCAACACTGAAATCCAGCCAGAACAAGTAGGGATCTATGTACAAGTTCCAGATTGGTGTGGTGGTGGAGGTTGGTGGATGGAAAGTTACCGTAGGGTCATTTCAAGGCTGGTGGGATCCTGGCTAAATGGATTCAGTTGGATTTGTGTGTGTGTGTGTTTGTTTGGAGGCAGGTGATGGTGATCACATATCCCATGGGTGATGGCAGGGGATGAGGAATTTGGTCAGCTATGGTGGGCAGGGGTGGGGGGAGATTCACTATAGGCTGAGTTAGGAGGATTCCTGTTAAAACCAGACTCTAAGAGAAAGCACCCTGAAGTCCACGGTAAGGATCTAGTTGTGGAAGGGGGTTCAGAGGAGCATGACTGAAGAGTGGTCAAGGAGAGGGTTTGTCAGTTGCTAGAGAGCAGCTGAGGCCTTGCCTTCTTGGCCTATGGGGGGGGCAGGGGGGATAAGTCTGTGCTTCATGCTGCAGTCTCTCCACTCCACATCTCTATTTTCCATAAATCTCAGGGTAGGGAAGAAAACAGTCTCTAGAACAGATTGTAACTAAATAACAGAAGAGTGGCAAAAGTAGACACACAGAGTCTCCTAGATGGTGGCACTTGGTGCGCGAGGCTTGGCACATCATGCTGATCCAGGATTATTGCCATTATGGCATCCAGGTGAACTGGAACCACTGGATACAGGGGCGAGTCCCGTGGATCTCTATTGTCACAAGCAACTACATAGAACATCTGTGCCGACGTCTGTGAATATCTGCAGTTTGCAACAGGAGTCGGTCGACTTGTGAGGTTACAATAGGTTAAAGACACCGGGACTGAACTGTTGTGACAATTTTTTCTTGTGGGGTTTGTAGGGCAGGGTATATTTGGGGTACCACAAACCTTAACTACATCAGGATAGGTTGTATGAAGAAAAGTATTCCTGGGTTTGCACTGTGGTTTGTAATGGTTAACTGACCGCATTGCAATAGTGCATTGGGGGTTGGTCATATTTACATGCTGGATCTGAAACCACAGAGTTGGGGTGAAATTACCAGGTGGGGCATCGAAGGAGCCCACCATCATCACGAGCCCCAGCAGCAGAAGCAGACAAAGTTGGGAATCCAGTAGCTTTGGAATCATGTTTCCTGTGAGAAAAGAAGAGAAGTAATGGCTCCGGCATCTGTCTCAGTTACCACACATGCTTCAGTGTCTGCAGGCCCCTCTGCTGTCAGGCTGGGGTCCCATTTCCTTTCCCTTCCTTTCCCCAAAGTGTCTGTGTCACCGAGGCACTCCTGCCTCAGCTGTTGTGCCATCACTGCCCCTCCTGTCCTCAGTTGCTGCCCCTTCACTGCCCCTCCTATCCCAGCTCAAGGGGTCACTGACTCACCCAGTCTCTGTGCTGTGGCTCCTGTGAGAAGTGATCCAGCCGGCTGTCCAGGGGCTCAGGCGCTGCTGGTCCCTCCCCACTTGTAAATATAGAGGAGGCTAGTGGGTGTGACTGTACAGCCAGGGAGGAGTGTCCTGATTGGCCTCCTTGTGCAATGAGACTTTTTGCTTGTCACTTGAATGATTAAGTAAAACCCCAGGACAACACTGCCTCTGCTTCTGTCATAGCAGATCTAAGGCATCCTGTGCAGGCGAGAGGTTTGCCAGGGCACCTGGACTCTGTTGATGGAGAACATACACTGGCTGCAGAAGGGACACAGATTTTATGGCTCTGCTCCCACTGGATGGTGACCCATAATGACAGGCCTAGAGCGCGTACTCGGAGCTAACTGAGCCAGGAAGGACTGTTTGCACAGCACAAGCCCAGTCCCTCTTCTGTTTCTAGTATTACCCTGGTTCCTTCTCACAAAATGTGCTCCATGTCATCACCCCCTCTCAGGCGGTAAACTTGGGCTATGAATTTCTTGCTGCTCAAAATTCTTCCAGTCATTAAAATAGTTTCTTACACGTATTTTTGAGGTTTTTTTTCCTTTACTCCTCTTACATTGGATTCAATTTCTTCTCTTTTAATTCTTGCCCTGGTTATGCTTTTACTTGGCATAAAGTCACATAACCTGAAGAAGTTCAGGGGAATGTCACTCTGTGATCTCTGGCAGAGAGTGAACATGTGCTGTCATAGAGGATTCTAACTGAGTGCTCAGTTTCCCTGCTTTTCAGCCTGTGCCTTTTCTACAAAATGTGTTCCGGGGTTGTCATTGACCTTCCTAATACATTTCATTTTGTGATGTTAACAGGAAAATGATTCTGTATTTATAAAATGAACATTGAAGGACTGAGGACTGGATTTGTAACAGTATAAAAGTTACAGTGTATATTTTGATACATGGAACACACTCTGTGTTGGTCCCCAGAGAAAACAGAGAAAATAATTATGAACACCTAATGTCATTACAGTGAGACAGACATGATACCACGTGTATGAACATGGTATTGTGGGCAGAGGATGAGGGAAGTTACTTGGCCTGATGGTACACAGGAGGCTTCCAGAAGAAAGGGCCATTGGAACTGGCCCTAAAGGATGAGCAGGGGTTTGCAGGGACTTTGGGGAAGAGAAGATGGTGTCAGAAAATTGTACAGAGTTGGAAAGTGAAGGGGCAAAACCCGTGTGCTAGGAGATGTTAAATCTCTGGTACAACTTCTAGGTTAAAAAGCTGGAATTAAATCTTTAAACAATAGGCAAACTTGCAACAAAATGAATCCACAGAATGTTCTACTACCTTTCTTCCCATCATCTGGAAATGCGATCATTTTAGTGTTGATGTCCTTGTATAGTTATGGAGACAATGATGATCTGACGAGCAGTGCTCAAGCCACATTAAAATAGAGCCCTGGCTTGAAAAATTCCTGAGCAGATGAAGTCAACTAGGCTTTTAAAATAGATCTAGACTTGCTTAAACTGCAAAGATAAGCAAAACTTGACCTAGGTCAATTCTGGTAAATGTTTGTTAGACAGAAATAAAACTTAAGTGGAGCCAATCATAATCAGCCAACTAACATATGACCATGTAACTAGAGACTTTCTGACAAGATGAACTAAAACAATTTTGATTTGCTATCAATCAACTTATTTAGCTTCCCCATTTCCCCACTAGATACTTGCCTCTGTTGCTAGTCATGAGAACATTAAACCTCTTTTGGTTTGTGTTTCCCAATTCATAAATTACTTCTTACTCACATAAATGCTTTAAAGTTTGATTGTTCCTCAGTTTACGTTGAAGACTGTGGTGTCAAAAAATTGGGATCTGAAGGAGACCACTGACTCCCCCTCCGCACAGCAAGTAACCAGGTGTAGGTACCGCCCAGCCCAGCTCCCCGGGCTGTTTTCATGCTGCATCTACAAGTTGCCGGGAGGTTCTGCTCTATGTGGAGCTCCCCACCTTGCGTGCTGAGCTCTCTGAGTTTTGGGGAGTAATTTTAGGACCTTTGAACTCTGTCTGTCTGTGCTGGGTTGAGTCTCCCCTGGTGTCTGCATGACCAGCTGCTGGTCACCTTATTGAGACTTTATTTTCTGAGCTGGGACTTTCCTGGTTACATGCTGCCATGTCATTCTCGTGACACACCTCACCCAGCACCTCAAAATTGTACCGCTCTGAGTAATTTTCCGTGTGCTGGGCTGTGTCTTTGTCCTCCTGACATCAACACAATTTTGTATGCTTACAACAATTTTGTACATTTACTCTTATCCCAGCAGATGTGGAGATTCTTAGTTCCGTAGCCCCATCACCCTCTTAAAACTGTGCTGGGAACACAGTGTCTGCTCAGTGGCTGTCTGCTGGAGGAATGAATGAGTGAAATGAATGAATGATAGCAGGGGGAATTAGGACACTATCCTCATTGTGAGAGGACACGGGGAAGATGGGTGACCCCTCTATCCTAAGGTGTTAGGAATGTGGGATCCCTGACTGGGAGGAGACTCATGGTCTGGTAACTCAGGTGATGGGGGTTCTCTCCATCTTTCTTTATAGGACAGAAATAAAAGTGAAGGTTCCCCCATCTCTCTCCAGCTTTGCATTATCCCATCTCTTCCTTCTGTTCCTCCAAGTTCGTTGGAAGAGTGAGCTCACTTCATGCCGCTTCCTATTTTACCTACATTAAGGGGATTCTGTTGAGCACTGTTGCACCCCTAGCCAGTGTTTCTATGTAAACCCTGGAGTCCACAGATAGTCCCCTCACCTCCCACCCCCGGAAGAAGCACAATCTACAATGGTCCTTCAGAGGAGTGGCCTAAATGTATCTGTTGTTTGTAATTAAAAAAAAAAAAAGCAAGAATTTATCAACATTACGCATTGGTGGGAGGAAGGGAAATTGCTGTTTCTGAGGATCTGGAAGGGGGGCAGAAAAAGAGAAGTCAGTACTCTCAGACTGAAGAGCAAAGGTGCAGCCACCTCTGTTATATCATAAGTGAGGCACTCCAGAAAGACCCACTCTGTCACCAGAGCATTCATTTGAATGCGGCACCTGTGCACAGCTGGCCAGGGGCTTTCTCTTCCTATCCCCTGTGGATTCCCGAGTGCAGCCCTGGAACGCAGGCAGGGCAGGGGCTTTCATCAGCCATCTCTTACTGCTGTGTCTACAAATTCCTGGTCCTGGAGCCTGTGACCTTCCTGACAGTTGTTGAATGAATGGATGGCTCACCGTTGGGGGCAGATATGAAGGCAGAGTGGGCAGGAGCCAACTGGCCTTGGTGAGAGCTCCTACTTCCATGTCCTCCTCCTTCCTGTTCCCACCAGGTACCCAGCTGCCCCAGGACATGGAGGTGTGGGGAAAGATGGCCACTTCCCCAAGCAGTGCTAAAATCTGCCCATATTACAGCCTGAACTATTTACCTCATTGTACATTTGACTCAAATTCTGGATCCAACCCTAGTAAAAATTACTAATAAATGCAAATTTGATACATTCATTTAAAATAAATATCTCTGAAGCTAAACTTTTCCTTTTTTTCTTTTGGCTTCGCTATATGTATAGTATTCCTATTTTTTTTCCTTTCTTAAAACATTATGAAACTTAAAGTTCAATTCTATAACAATATTTATGTTTCATAGATCAGACAGAATCACATATTTTCTGCTTTTTCTCTGGGGCCCCTCTATCTCCTGGGATGGAAATAACATCAATGCAAGCCAGAGGTCGGTGGCAGTTAAAGCCTCAGGACGAGATTTACTCAGGAACTACTGCAATACGGTAAATGAGACTTTGGTGTCAAACTGGGCTCAACACTGAAATATGATCAGAACAAGTAGAGATCTAAGTACAAGTTCCAGGTTGGTGTGTGGGATGGGAGTTGGTGGATGGAAAATTACCACAGGGCCATATCAAGGCCGGTGGGATCCTGGCTGAATGGACTCGGTTGGATTTGTGTGTGTGTGTGTTTGGAGGCAGGTGATGGTGATCAGATATTCCATGGGGGACGGCAGGGCATGAGGAATTTGGTCAGCTATGGTGGGCAGGGGTTGGGGGAGATTCACTATGGGCTGAGTTAGGAGGATTCCTGTTAAAACCAGACTCTGAGAGGAAGGACCCTGAAGCCCACAGTAAGGACCTAGTTGTGGAAGGGGGTTCAGAGGAGCGTGACTGAAGAGTGGTCAAGGAGAGGGTTTGTCAGTTGCTAGAGAGCAGCTGAAGCCTGGGCTTCTTGGCCTACGGGGGGCAGGGGGATAAGTCTGTTTCATGCTGTAGTCTCTCCACTCCACATCTCTCTATTTTCCATAAATCTCAGGGTAGAGGAAGGGAATATCTCTAGGACAGGTTGTGACTAAATGACAGAAGAGTGGCAAAAATAGACACAGAGACTCCTAGATGATTCTGCAAAGACTTTTATTGCAAGGCTACAAAGCTCAGGGAAGCTTAGCTTAGCTCAGACTGATGAGGGCAGGTGCTGATATGCCGGTGCCTGGAGGGATGGCACCTGGCCATGACTGTGGAGCTTGACAGATGATCTATGACATGAAGTGCCGACAACGGAGATTAGATTGCATCCAAGTGAACTGGAACCACTGGATACAGCAGAGAGTCCCGCTGTGGATCCCTGTTGTTACAAGCAACTACATAGAGACTCTGTGCCGCTGTGTTTGTATATCTGCAGTTTGCAACAGGAGTTGGTCGACTTGTGAGGTTACAATAGGTTATAGCCACCGGGACTGAACTGTTATGACAATTTGTTCTACTGCTGTTTGAAACGCAGGGTGTATTTGGGGTACCACAAACACCAGCTACAGCAGCAAAGGTTGTATGAAGAAAAGTATTCCTCCTTTTACATTGTGGATAGTAACGGTTAATTACCCGCATTGCAATAGTGCATTGGGGGTTGGTCATATTTATGTGCTGGATCTCAAACCACTGAGCCCAGGTAAACTGAGGAGGTTTGGCATGGAAGGAGCCCACCATCGCCATGAGCACCAGCGGCAGAAGCAGACAGAATCGGGAATTGAGCAGCTTTGGAACCATGTTTCCTGTGAGGAAAGAAGAGAAGGAACAGCTCCTGCGTCTGTCCAAGTTATGACACATGCGTCAGTGTCTGCAGGCCCCTCTGCTGTCAGGCCGGGGTTCCATTTCCTTTTTCTTTCTGTCCCCAAAGTATGTGGCTTCTCCTAGGCATTCACTTCAGCCCACCCCTGCCTCACTTGCTGCCCTGTTACTGCTCCTCCTGTCCCAGCTCAAGGGGTCACTTACTCACCCAGTCTCTGTGCTATGGCTCTTATGAGAGGTGATCCAGCTGGCTGTCCTGGGGATCAGGGTAGGTTGGTCCCTCCTTACCTCAAACCATAAATATAAAGTAACCTAGGTGGGTGGAGCCAGCAGGCCAGGAGGGTCTGAATCTTGGACATGCAGAAAGCCACAGATTGGCACATGGTCCACTTTTGCAATTGGCCCTTTTGTTCCATCACTTGGCAACATATACCCAAGGACAGCACTGCTCCTGCTTCTGTGACAAGGCATCTAATGTCAAGTCATCCTGCATAGGACAGTTTTGCTGGTTGTATCTGGACTTTGGATGAGAACTGTACATCTCCCACAGAATCGGCACAGGTTTTGTAACTGTGCTTTGGCAGGGTACTAAAGACAGTGTGTATATAAAGGTACACCTCATACCAAGAACAAATAGAGCTACTGGCCCAGGAGGAACTCAGCTTGCCTCTCATGTTTCATAGAATCCCCTGTCACACAAATGTTCTCCCTGGTTCCACCTCATCACCACGCTGATGGAAACTTGAGCTATGAATTTCTTGATGTTCAAGATTCTGCAGGTAATTAAAGCAGTATACTAGACATATATGACAGGTTCTTTTTTTTGAGACAGAGTCTCACTATGTCACCTTTCGTAGAATGCCATGGCATTATAGCTCACAGCAACCTCAAACTCTTGGACTTAAGCAATTCTCCTGCCTCAGCCTCCCAAGTAGCTTCCCCCCCACCCCAGAAATGAGTACTCCCTCTTGGTCAGGCTGGTCTCGAACCTGTGAGCTCAGGCAATCCACCAGCCTTGGCCTCCCAGAGTGCTGGGATTACAGGCATGAGCCACTGCGCCCAGCCACAGGTCCTTTTTCTTTACTCCTCTTATGTTGGATTCACTTTCTCTTCTTTCAATTCTTACCTAGGCTATTGCTTCCACTGGTGTAAAGTCACAACCTGCAGAAGTTTAGAGGAAAGTCACTCTGTGAACTCTGGCAGAGAATGAACATTTGCTGTCATAAAGGATTCTAACTTAGCACTCAGTTTACATTCTTCTTTTTCAAGAATGGACATTTTCTACAAAACAGTGTGGTCTGGAGTTGTCATTCATATTCCTAGGGAATTTCATTTTGTGATATTAACAGGAAAATGATTCTGTATTTATAAAATGAACATTGAAGGACGGGGAACTGGATTTGTGAAGGTACAAGTCACCATACTTTGATACATGAAACAGGCTCTGTTGTCCCCAGAGAAAACAGAACGTAATTATGAACAACTAATTTCATTGCAGTGTGACAGAGGTGACACTACTTGTGTGAGTGTGGTTTTATGGACATTGAGGATGAAGGAAGTTCCTGGTGGTACATAGAAGGATTCCAGAAGAAAGGGCCACTGGAATTGGCCCTAAAGGATAAGCAGGGGTTTGCAAGGACTTTAGAGAAGAGATGAACATTCTCCACATAGGGGATGGTGTAGAAAATTCTACAGAGGTGGGAAGTGAATTGCATGAGGCAAGATTGAGTTAAATCTCTGGTCCATGTTCTCGGTTAAAAAACTGGAATGTGATCTTACATGTGTTCAGACAACCTTTCAACAAAACAAATGCATATAATTTTCCAACTCCCATTCTATCTTCCTGTTATCTGGAAATTCAGTAATGTTATCATCAATGTCCTTATGTACATGTAAATGTGGACACAATTGTGACCTGATAAGGACTCAATCCAGAGCTAACGATGGCCTGCCTTGAAACCCTTTTCTGGTTGACATTCATTGTTGTCCTTCATCACAAAGGAAGTATTTTTGTAAGGTATGTTACATGGAGACCATTTGTTTAGACTGTGAGAATGTAAAGTTGACTGAGATACAGAGTATGCCCTCTGTGACACCCATACTGGGTAGAAAAATCCATGCTCAAGTGTCTATAACAGGAAACCAAAAAACATATCCTGCAGTCCTGGCTCAATAACCTCCTATTTGCCTGAGCAAGAGTGAGACCCTATCTCTACAAAAAATAGGAAAATTATCCAGGTGTGGTTGTATATGCCTGAAATCCTAGCTACTTGGGAGGTGAAGGCAGGAGGATCTCTTGAGCCTAGGAGTTTGAGATTGCTATGAGCTATGATGATGCCATTGCACTCTAACTGGGACACACAGTGACCTCCTGTCAAAAACAAGCAAACCAGAGTTCGGGCATGGTGGCTCACGCCCGTAATCCCAGCACTCTGGGAGGCCGAGGCCGGTGGATTGTTTGAGCTGACAGGTTCGAGACCAGCCTGAGCAAGAGCAAGACCCCATCTCTACTAAAAATAGGAAAACTGAGGCAAGAGGATCACTTGAGCCCAAAAAGTAGGAGGTTGCTGTGAGCTATGACGCCAGAGCACACTACAGAGGGGGACAGGTAAGACTCTGTTTCAAAAAAAAAAAAAAAAAGAGCAAAACAAACAAATAAACAAAAAAACCAAGCAAACCATCCATTAAAAACTGTTACCTTTTCAGTGTATTCAGCACTATTTGGGAAGTTTAGTTTGGAAGCTAAAATTCAAAATTGGAATAGTTTACACCGAGAATTTGGGTTCCTGTCTCATCTTCAGAAAACTGTATAATGTTGGTTGGAGCACTCAGCATCTGTTACAGAGGTATTGTCAATTTTCTATTACAGTTATTTCTGAATAGCAGCCACCCCTGTGGAAGGGGCACTAGCTCTAGGCTCTTCTGTGACTCCACTTGTACCCCCTGATTCATCTTCTGTCTGTTCCCTTAATAATGACACTTGCCTGGCTCCTGGAGACATTTGTGCCTTTGACCCATCAGACCTGTCACAGTGTCTTAAGAAATGATTGAAGAAATGACTCTGACTGTGACCTGCTCAATTCCCAACCATGTTCTTCCTTTAAAATTGTATTCAGAACATGCCTGTAGACTTTTCTGATTGTTCTTTGTGTAGGTTACCCCTGTGCATTTCCAAATACTCTCATTCACCTCCAGAAGTAGCATAAATGATTTAGTTTGATATTGAAGCCTTTTGGGAGAAGATCCTTTTCTATGAAGCAGGATTAAATGTAAGGCCATGTTAAGCACTGTAACTTCAGCACGATTTTATCTTTAATAGACAAAAGTCACTTCTCGTGGGTTCTTTGTTATTTTATTAGCATAACTTCTGCTGCAGCCCAATTTAGCAGTGCCTTTCCAGACCTGATCCACACCAATGAGAGGAATAGCCAGAAGTATGCCCTAATATTTTATAAAGTCACTTTTTTTGAAATTGGTGAACATTGTAAGATATTGTACCAGAAAAAATACTTCTGCATTTGTGGTAAAAAGGACCGTTGAGTGTTCCGGCCTCAGGAGTGATTAATATCTCCATTGTACAAGGTCCATGGTCCAATGCTCACAGTTTCTTCAGCCCCCAGACCCCTTTGCAATGCTGCTCATAATCTGCTGATGGGGAGATGCCAACTGTCAATATCTTCGTGCACACAACTTTCTCTGTCGCAGTGGCTGTCTATGGGAAAGACAATGCATGCTATTTACGGAGTTGTTATAGTAACGTGGTACAAGTTAATTTAATTGCACCCAGTTAAGTGAAATTTAATTTAAGTTCAAAAGATATTTGGTATGGTGAGCTCTTCCTGGTCTCTTGGACACAGCAAGGACGTCCTTGGCTTACCTTCTTCTATAGGACCGCCTACCTTTCTCCTCTGAAGATCATTGAATAAAAGCAAATCTGATGCCTTTGACCAAGTTTCTGGCATGAAGTAGGGAAGTAGTAAGCTTTTCCTCTTTAATTCAACTCTGACAAGTTTTTGAGTAGAAATAAAGCTCAGATGGAATTATAGAAAGGTCTGAGAAGGGATGAAATAAAATATATTTTCGAAGAAAGTAGAAAATTGTATGCAGGTGAAATATACTCATTGCTCATTTTTAAAATGTATTTTTATTGATACCTAGGAGATGTATACAATTTCAGGGTCCGTGTGATAATGTGATACATTCATATAATGTGTACAGATCACATCAGGGAAAGTAGGGCATCCATCTTCTTAAATAGTTGTCTTTTATTTATGCTAGAAACATTCAAATTATTCTCTTCGAACTACTTTGAAGTGTATAATAATCTTTAACTAGAGTTACTCTTCGATCCGTCAAACACTAGGTCTGATTTGTTCTATCAAACCACATATATGTACCCATTCATCGACCTCTCCTCCTCCCTAGTGCATACCCATCATGTAAAGGCATTCACTGAGCTGGCAGGACTCAGAGGGAATAAAGTGTTATCCTGCAGGTCAACATCTCTTTAAAGGAAGTTATTATATAAGTTTGGTGTCATGGTCATGTGGAGTATAGATTTTGTACAGTCTTTTCCAGGTATCAGTCCTGATTCCTTCCATTTGAGGCTCTCACTATAACAGTTGGCCAGTTATCCTCTCTATGCCTGCGTTTTCTAATCTGTAAAATAATGGCAACACCTACGTAATTGGTAGGTTGGTAGGAGAAAATGTGGTAATATGTGTGTATGAAATATGTAGCATAAAGCATTGCAAAAGGTAGAACATGATCTTAATACGAACGATCAGTCATATGCATCAGGGTGTCAGTGTGATATCCTGTACTGGTCTACCCCTCTGTGATGTTGGCGACTAGTCGGAATATGCTCCTTTCTTTTTTTTTGAGACAGCGTTTCACTTTGTCATCTCCAACTCTTGGGCTCAAGTGATTCTCTTGCCTTAGCCGCCGAGTAGCTGGGACTACAGACACCCGCCACAACA